CTATACCAACGGTCATTCAGAGATCGCGCTCAAGGAGTTCTCCACGTTCAACCTTGGATCTGGCGACGACCTTGCCTTTGTACTGCCTGTAGACCCCGCTGGCACAGCACCCGTCATCTCGGGTTTCCTTGACACCTTTGCGCGAGACATAGCCATCTCATACACGAAATTCGGAGTCATCAAGTCCTGGACTGCGCGTGTTAACATCGAAGACCGAAAACTGGACTGGCTGTTGACTTCGGAGGTCGAGACTGGTGTCAAGAACCCATCACTTGCTAGTGGCACGTCGATACGCAAGGCTGCGTTAGCCGATGCTGATCGAACTACGCTCACTATATGGAACACCCGAAGCGCTCAGTTGGAACATGAAGAGACATTCGAAGGCAGCGGAATCATCCAGGATCTCGACTGGTCTTCTACTCCCGACAACCAGTTCATACTTGCTGTCGGCTTCCCCCACCGTGTTGTCATCTACGCCCAGCTGCGATACGATTACCTCAACGCCGGTCCATCCTGGGTACAGATCAGTGACGTGCGCATTCGCGACATCACGCCACATCCGATCGGCGATTCGGTATGGCTAAGCAGTGGTAATCTGATCATTGGCGCAGGCAACCAGCTCTTCATTCAAGATGAGCATGTCCAGGTGTCCGAAGGGCTATTCCCCAGCTTGCGTACCATCTCACGGAAGACGGCATCTATCGACATATTCGATGCAGTTAGCAGACTCAACGGTCCCCTACCCGCGTACCATCCCCAGTTACTTTCACAATGCGTCTTGGCCGGCAAGCTGCTACTGGTGCAGCGCATCTTGATTAGGCTTTACACTACACTCAAGTTTTGGATCGAAGGTGAAGAGCTTGACAGCTCGTTGGGATTCGCACCTGAAGACTTCTCAGAAGCTGAGGTACGTACATGAACAGCTCTTTCTAGATGTAGCTAACCTTTGCAGACACAAATGACCGCATCTCGAAAAGAGGTGCATTCATCCTACGCCGATTTCTCTGACGATAGCGAGCCTGAGGCAGTAACCGAAGAAGTCGCCTCTAGTCTCAAAGAGCTCCTGACCACTAAGCGGATACCGCTCTTGACCAGTCGCGAACAGTTTCGCCTGGCCGACATCATCGAGTGTATTGGTATGGTAGAGAAGCATCGTCGATCCATTGATGATAACGCTGGTCGCTTCTTGCTGTTCTTCCGACAACATGTACTGAGTGAGACGCATAAAGGACCCATCTCGTGGCGCGAGATCATCTGGGCGTTCCACTCAGGAAGTCAGGATATTCTTGTCGACCTTGTCAGCAGACACTTCAGCGGGAAGATGATGTGGCAGCACGCAAAGGAGTGTGGAGTGTTCATGTGGATGTCCGACATCAACGCATTGGTACGGTACACTCTTCCTTGTCGGTAGAAAATACTAATGACATCTACAGCGCGCCCAATTTGAGGTGATCGCTCGGAACGAGTACACAAAGACCGATGAAAAGAACCCCGTCGACTGCGCCCTATACTACATGGCTCTCCGGAAGAAACCAGTCCTAGTCGGTCTTTGGCGAATGGCTACTTGGTCGAGAGAACAGGGCGCCACCCATCGACTGCTATCGAACAACTTCAACGAAGACCGTTGGAAGACCGCCGCCCTCAAGAACGCATACGCATTGATGGGCAGGAGAAGATTCGAGTATGCTGCGTCGTTCTTCCTACTTGCAGATCATCTACAAGATGCTGTCAGCGTTCTCCATAATCAGCTTGGTGATACCCAGCTCGCCATAGCAGTCGCCCGCGTCTACGGTGGTGATGACTCGCCCATCTTGCTGGACTTCTTGAGAGATAAGATTTTGCCCCAAGCTGCTAGAGAGGGCAATCGATGGCTTGCAACATGGGCATACTGGCTATTGAACAAGAAGGACATGGCCGTTCGCTCGCTGGTCACACCGCTGACAACTCTACTTGAGACTTCCGAACCCCCCAGTTCAGCCGCTAAATCGTACCTCACCGACGACCCGGCCTTGGTAGTCCTGTACAAGCAACTCCGCGAGAAGTCACTCCAAACATTACGCGGAGCCACAATGATAGGCATGCGCGAAGAGTGGGACTTTGTGCTACATACAGCTGGCCTATACGACCGCATGGGCTGCGATGTCCTCGCCCTCGATCTAGTCAAGACATGGGAATTCTTACTCCCACCACCACCGACAAAGGCAACATCCGGTCGTCCGCCGCTGAGCCCCTCGATGCCGCGTCAAAGCTATCAATCGCAGGGAAGGAATCAATCTGCGACGGACTTTGACTTCGATCCCAGGAAGCTGCTGCGCAGGAGAAGTTCGCTCGTTATCGCCGATCTGCCCGTGCGAGAGCATGCTCATAACGATTTGGCGGAAAGTAAGGGCACGCTGGAAGAAGGTAGGGAGAGTGGTGAAGAGGATGGTGAAGAAGAGGAAGAGCAAGAGGATGAAAAGGATAAGAAGAATGACGAGAAGACTAAGGAGGAGTCGAAGAAGAAACCGCCGCCGACTCAGTTCAATGAGCCGGATGCGAATAGTTTGTTGGATGCTTTCGGTTTTTAGTAGAGCTGGTTGGTTGATACATTGTGGTTCTGGTACGAAGGTTTCGGGATAGTGGCATGGCTGGGTGTTCTGAGCGGTACTTGGTAGGTATAATAGTTGGTGCGTGTATCCTGCACGTGGTTGCCAGTACCAAATCTCAGGCCTTGTTGTTTTATTCAAGATCGTCAAGTCAATAAGATTGTGTACTACATCGGCCGCAAAACACGATATTGATGTCAGATACTTGTAGCAACGCATGAAAGTAAAGAAGCGTGGCGATATCAAAATTGATCTAGAATAAGCCCCGAGGGTTGTGCTCGAAAAGTGGGTGAGGTTAATGGTGCAATGCAAGATCCGCATGTAAAGATAGGTAAACCAACGGGTATTCTTTCTTAGTGTTTCATACTAAATAGTGCTGGGAGCTGCGTTACAAGTTACCAAACGAGTGCTCCATGTCATCCTGCCTCATCCATCAAGCTAACAGACTAGACAAAGAATGCAGCAGCAGCAGCGCCAAGTCCAGCCAACAGCGGCGCACCCCTGACCATCGGCGCACCAGCCTCCGTCACCTCAGGCACAGGCGCAGTTCCAGAAGCACCTGTCGCGTTTGTAGGAGCACCCGTAGACATGGCACTCGACATCGTCGCTGTAGCGGCAGCAGTAGCCTCCAACTTCTCCGTTCCGGCGGTGATGACCAGGTAGTAAGTTCCGAATTGCGTCGCCTCGATCTCCACCTCAGAAACATAAGGTTCATCAGGCGCACCACTCTCACTGCAGTAAGCTGGCTGTGAGACGGACGAAACAGCAGAGCCATAGCCATAGCTAAAAGTTTGCCTGACTGTCTCTGTACCTGCAGGTTCGGAGCCGCGTGCAGGATACGTGTGTGTTCTCGTCCAAATCTCCTCGGTTGTCGAGATGTAAGCCGTGTTCTGGCAGAGGAGACTAGCGAGGCCCGGGGGGTAAGATACTGTGCATGTGCGGTTTGACCCTGCTTCCTCGGGGGTCGGCCAGGTGCAGTCGAGTGCGTAGGTGTCGTCCTCATCGTCGTCGCCGGAACCGGCGATGCCAACGTCGACTGTGGTGCCGTAGTATTCGGGACCTATGGTCATGGTCATGGGACCGTTGACACCGATGCTGAGAGCGTCTAGATCGGTTCCTTCGTCGTATTCGACGGCGACGGTGGTGTGGGTTTCATTGGCGTTGATGACGGAGCCGACGAAGCCGATGTTGTCTGTTCCGAGGCCGTTGGAGGGCATCCAGAAGGAGGTTGTGACTTGGGCTGATGCGCTGGCTGCGAACAGCATGGTTGAGAGGAGGGATGCCATTGTGGTGGTGGTGGATTCAGGTGTAGTGGAAGATGGTTTGTGATGTGCACAACACCAACGTTTTTCCACGAGGTCTTCACGTTCCTTTAAGCATCGTGGGATTGTCGCTGGGGATACTCACCGGTAAGCCAAGCCCAGGGCGCAGCATCTTGGCTTGGACGGTTACAGCGGCTATCATCTCAATGAGTTGGCGTTCTGCTCAAATGACTGGAATGTGGCGGAAAACCTGCTGTGTTGGTTTACCACATATTGGCGCTGGTGGCCTTGTTTACAACAGAGCCTAAGTCCGTAGGTAACTCGGGTCTCGTAAGCGTTTCATGGAAATTGGCCAGCTTAGCGATGCAGTTGCGGCTGTGCCTGGCTGTCACGGATGTATGATCCGGGCGTAATAGGTGGAACTCGGATGGATAAACGGCAGAGGTCATCCGTTGTGTTAGCAATGTGATTCAGCGACTTGACGACCTAACCCGTTGTAAGGCCTCTGATCGGTGTGGAATACCAAGACCGCTTGCCTTACGAGCCAAGACTCGTAGGGGGCTGTGGAAAGATCGTCTCGTGTGAAGTCGACCCAAAGCATTGCAGCGACACTCTGCTAAGTTCGACGGGGCGACACGACTCTTGGTGATGACCTTTTCGTCGACTTGTGAATGCGCCTCTTTCTACCACGCTGTGAACCCTATCACGATTCGAGAGATGTCGTGCAATCGCAACAGCGCAGAGAAGTCGGGTCGGTGAGTCTTTGACATCCAACAGCGAGCTGATTAGTGATAAAAGTCGCACTCGCTCGCAGCAGTGAGCACTTCATGATGGAGATGGACGTGAGGACGTTCCTGTTGTCGTCCGTGAAAAAGGTCTAACATGACACTGAGAAGCGAAAAATGTGGAATAGTAACGGTGTGATATTTGAGAAGTTGATGGGTAGCCTTATCGTTGAGATTTGGTAGATGGCACCCGTGGACGCCCACCAGAACGAAGTGTCACGTGAGCGCACAAGTGGGTCCTCGTCGTTCGGCTTGAAGGTATCGCCGAGTGCGCGTCATCGCGCCGGATTGGTAATCCATCTCAACACGCGTCGAATGGAGGCGATATACTGTGTAACGTCACACTTCAACACCACATACCTACCACGATGCCTTCTCAACGCGACTTAGAAGGCGGTAGCGTGCCAGACGAGCGCGCGCCCTTGCTCTCGCATGATGCCGCGCGTCAGCACACGCCCACACCATCGGAAAGCGACGAAATCATCGACCAACCGGAAAAGGCAGCATCCAAGACCTGGTATTATGTTTGGAGAGGCATCCTTGCCGTTTTCGCGATACTGGTCGTTGCCGTCTTCATCAAAGGCTGGATAGAGGCCGATGACGTCGATGTATGTTCCTCTGCACTGTCGCGGCACATATAATCTCCAAAAGCTCACAGCATGCGTAGTTCGATCTCAAAGGCGCACTGAAGCGTGCATTAGGTGGGGGCTTGAGTGGTGCTGCGGCGATGATACTGCAAGTGTTGCTATTGATGCCTATCCGCACGATCATGAACTACCAATATCGCCATGGCACATCGACGACTGTCGCAACTAAGACTCTGTATGCCGACGGTGGTATAGGTCGATACTACCAAGGTATGGGTGCTGCGCTCTTTCAGGGGCCCATCGCTCGATTCGGAGACACAGCCGCCAACGCTGGTATCCTGGCCTTGCTGCAGTCAAACGGCTTCCTGAAGCAGCTTCCTTCGCCCATTCAGACGATCTTTGCATCAGCGTGCGCTGCAGCTTTCAGAATGCTACTAACACCAATCGATACCTTGAAAACTACCTTACAGGCCCAGGGAGCTAGTGGCTGGGGTCTCCTCCGACAGCGCATTAGGACCGACGGCATCGGCTCTCTGTGGTGGGGTGCTTTCGCAACCGCAGCAGCGACCTTCGTTGGACACTATCCCTGGTTCGCCGTATACAACTTCCTTTCCGAAACCATTACAGAGCCATCAAGACAACAGATCGGATGGTGGTTACTACGGGCGGCTTTCATCGGTTTCTGCGCTTCGGTCGCTTCGGACACCATATCGAATTCGTTGCGCGTTGTGAAGACCTATCGACAGGTCAACGATACGAGAATATCCTATACTGAGGCTGCCAAGCAGGTTATCCGTCAAGACGGAAGATTGGGTCTATTTGGACGCGGATTGAAGACGAGAATCATCGCCAACGGTCTGCAGGGCATTCTGTTCTCCATCTTGTGGAAGCTGTTCTTGAAAATCTGGGAAGACAAAACGGGTTGAGCGCGACTGCGATTGGGTCGACAAATTTGAGACAAATGAATTTCGGGTTGACTACTGCAATGTGCGAGTCATACGTACAACGAGACCTCTTTTTCGACGTGCAACACCGTCGGCGACATTCGTACTGGGGCCAAAGGTACCGGCTTAAACATCTCCGTATCCGATACTAATCCTGATCACCTCAGCTAACTCGCTTCGTCTTCTTCGCCAACATATCCCCCGCATCGTTCTCATCCCGCTTCCTCTTCGGTGACGGCCGCCTGCTCTTCTTCCCCTCAACATCCAAGGCCGCGTTCTTACCAACCTCAGTCGGGTCGTCAACCGCAACCGACTCATCCACCTGAAACTGCCTCAGCTCGTCCTCTGTCACATTCGGAACAAACAAAACACCGCCTGTCTTCCCTTCTAGAAGTCCTCTCATGTTCTTCCTCTCTGTAGCAACTTTGCTAACCCTGCCATCAAGCTTTCCACGGATGGATGACACGTCGCGCTGTGGTCTAGAGGGTGCATCAGCACCGTTCGCGTCTTTGAGCACCTTGCCTTCGAAAAAGGCGTTGAACGCTTCCATCACTGAGACTGGACCAGGGAGTTTGATGACGTGACCCGCATCGATAGTTGCGCGCAGCTTTCTGTGGAAGAGCGTCATCCAGGCGTCCTCCAGTGGAGTGTACGGGTACGCAGCCTTCTTGGTGCCGATTCCATGTTGCTTGAAAACGTCGGTGCGCCATTGTGTTATCGCGACGATCTGGGGCTTGGACTTCCAGTCGATGTCATCTTGCTCGACGTCGGTGTACGTGACGGTCTTGGACTCACCGGTCACGTTGTTATGGAGTTTGATCGTGAGCTTGTGGACAGACTTGTTGCCCGTCCGTGGGGCGTCGATGTTGCCGTCTACCACCTCCCATCCGCTAGCTTCATCCGAAGAGGAAGCAGGACTGGAGCTTCGCTCAGCTTTAGCGTCGACCTTGAGGTTATCGCGGCCGGTGCCTTTTGTCAATGTGTCTCCTGTGGCCGGCGGCTGGGTGGATGTCTTGGTAGACTTCTTTGGCGATGGCAAAGACTTTCCAGGCACCGCGGACTTGCCAGGCGAGGAGCCGAAGACAACTTTGAGTTCCTTCTTCTTCGTTGTCTTGAGCTTGGTTTGAACACCTTTCTTCTTGTCCTCCGTCGCAGAGTCAGATTCATCTCCGTCCTCGACGTTGTTGATGTAGTTCAGGTAGCCGTTGTGCTTGAAGTACTTTTCGTCCAGTACATTGTCGGTATCATCCGGCTCTCTCAAAGGTTTCGCATCGTCAGCAGGATCAGATGGGAAATCCGCCACCGAGTCTTCATCGCCTTCCTCGGGTACTTCGCCTGCGTGCGCCGTTGATGGCTCGTCTGTGGGCGTCTCTTCGATAAAGTCTTCGTCGAAGTCTGGATCGTTGCTTGACCGCCATCCCGAGTCTGTCTGGAAACCGGCGGTATCCCATGAGGGCTTATCTATGGATATCTCCTGGCTGAGGTTCTCGCCGAACGCTGGGTCGTTGATGGAGCGCCATCCGGACTTGGTCGGAAACCCGGCAGGGTCCCACAAAGACTTGTCGATGGGTTGCCATTCTGATGTAGGAGACGCCTCGAGCTGCCGAGGGGACGACTGCATCTCCTGCGGTAATATCAGCGCCTCCAGTTCCGCCAGGTCTTCCTCTTCGTCCACTGTATCATGGTGGTCGTCCATCTGAAACGGCCCCGCCTTCTCCTGCTCAGCGGTTTCCGTGGCGTCGAGGTCTTGGATATCGGAGAGGCGGCGTGTAGAGCGCGGGAGTGGACGATTGCGGTCGATTTTAGCCGTATGCGATGAGCGTGTAGGACTCTTAGTGGTATTATCGGTGTGGCTAAAAGCGTCAACGAGGCTACTGGTCGCGCTGTATCCTTCGGGCTCAGTGATCTCCTTTTGAAGGTCTCCCGCAGAGGCGCGAATCCCGGTATGGGGTGGAGACGACGGCGGATCCACGTCAAGATTTGCGGTTGGTGTCTGGCTCATGGTGTAGGTTGCGATTGTGGTTGGGGTGGAGCAGTTGCGCTGGTGGTGTGGTTTGCGGTCGGAGTAATGGGCAGTCCGAGTTGCAACGACTGTGAAGTTCAGTGATTTAGGGGGGTTGCGGCTGGGGTGATGGTGAACAGATACTCTGGTAGGTCATGCTCTATGCGAGTAGAACGCGGTGGACACTCCTTTGCAGTTTATGTCAGCAAGCCGAGCTCATACAGGGTTCTGGACATGCATCGGAGCTACCCGTTGACAGCACCGGTGTAGAGGTCACCCACCAGCTTGGCACTGTTTAAATGCCGCTGCTCGTGCTTAGTCTTAATCTCGACATCTTCTCGACGCGTCCGAACACGACCGCTGCACAGCGCCCCCTACGCTGTGCGCTCACACTTCGCTTGTACGCACCTCCGAGCACCGCATCCGCATCCAAAGACACCCGTTGCATGCGCTGAACAAAACTTCACAGACGCCATGGCCCCAGCCAGCAGCAAGAACCACCCCCCTTGGGCGACGACTGAGCAGACCTCTGCGCTGAGAGCCCACGTCGTCTTTCAGCGGCATAAAATGGTGGTACCTCCAAGGATCCTACCAGACGACGTTGAACGCGCCATTCAGATCCTGGATCAGCACGACCCGTCAACAGCGAAAGCGGATGCTAAAGGCCTCAAGCCAATTGATTACGCCAAATACGCGATCAACGACCACTTGCGGCCAATGGCTAACGCAGCTGGCATGCACAACCTCCATCAAGAAGGAATAAAGAAAGGCAAACTAGTTGGACTACTGACAGACTGGGATCTACAAAACGTCCCGCTTATGGCGGCTCTGCTACCGCGCTCGGACAAGGCCACTAAGCCCGTCGTCCCTAAACAGGTCGTTTCAATGCGAAAGAAAGCCGAAACGGAGCCAACGGAGTCGAAGAAACGCAAGGCTGTGCCAACTAAAGTCACAGCGGCGAAGAAGCCCCGGAACGATGGCAATGCTTCTCCAGGGGACCACGATGTCGAAATGGAGGACCGAAACGAACCAGATGGCGGCGATTCCCTCCCACAAACTGCTATCGAGGGCAGCACATCGACTCGAACACTCGCCCGGATGCGAACGCGTTCCCGTAGGCCTCGAGATGGCCAACCACATGCTACCGAGACGCACCTCGAAGCAGACAGGGGCATGGCTGCACTGTCGCTGAGGGAGTTTGGCGAAGACAAGGGCAATAGTACGGACGATGCATTGACCCACAACCGCGAAGGAGACGACAAGAGGCTCGAGACTGAGGCTGGAGAGGTGCAAGTGCCAGCTTCAGAGCGACATAGTACTAGAGGGCGAGCGAGTGGGCGCGGCAAGGGCAGCAAGAAGAAGACTGAGGAGCAGATCGCAGAGGAGGAAGAGCGAAAGATGCATAATGCACGGCGGCTCGGTCGCTACTCCGACCCTGTAGTCGCTGAGACCTTCCGCGTCCTGCACAAGACGGTCCTGGTTCCGATGCATGGCAAGATGCAGGAAGGAGTTGAACCAGTGCCGACTGATCAGCTGGGTATGCGGGAGTTAAGGGAGAGGCTCCTCGATGAGGCTAGGAGAAAGGACGCGAAGTAGAGGTGTGGATGGCTGGAGGAGCATCACCACCTCACTCATCATAAAAAGAACATCGAGAAGATGTTCTCGAACATTGCGGCTTGGGATTTCTTTGTTTGTCTAAAAGTATATAGGGCGCCGCGAAAAGCCATGCACTTCTTTCGATGTACTGACCCTCTCTTTGTCGCCGAGTTCCAGATTCCGGGACAAAGGGTTAAGAAACCTTTCTTATGTTCGGCGGCTGTATCAGCAATGGATTGCGTCTTCATACACAATTGATTGCGAACATCACGTCTCTTGCCACAAACGCATCTTCTCGTGCAAGCCGACAATCAGCTCTAGTGATGCCGCCGGAACGCCGTGCAAATGATGCCGATGATAATTCGCAAGATTCAACTAATGAGAGACGGTCAGGCTTACGAGACCGATCCAAGTTGAAAACGACAGCCCGCAACGACGATACCACCCAACCCTCGTCTCCAAGCAACAGGCCCACAGCATCCAATGTGGTCGAGCAGAACAATGGCGGAGCTGAGGCAGGAAGTACTGCAGCACCAATCAATAAAATACAAAAGAAAATTGAGAAAAAGCAAGACTCTCTTCAAGACAAACTTCAGAAGGCAAGGGAGGATGCAGAGGATAAGGACCAACAGGACGATGCAAAGAAACGCTCACAGGCACACCAAAAGCGTCGTGTTGCCACCGCATTGTATGAAGACTATCTTTACTATCAAACACCAGAGTACAGGAAGCAATACCGTGAAGATATCGATGCCGCCGTAAAGAAGAGGGCAGGACTAGCTTTTGCCAAAGGCCATGCCCCTGCAAAATTGGGGGATGACGAAACTTACGACAGCAAACTAAGGAGCGTCCTCAAGGACTTCGAAAAGAACGGAGTAGGTTTGCTCGATAATCTAGATTGGCGAAGCATGCCGCCCGATCAGTTACGTATGCGTATTCCAAGAGCGGAAAAATTCCCGGTGGGACTAGGAGAGCAGCTTGGAGGGGTGCCAATCGAACCTTACAACTTATTACTCGACACCGACGCCATCGAGAAGAAAAGAAAGGAGGTGGAAGACCAGAACAAAGATCCAAAGATGAGCGAATCTCACTCCGAACGACGGGCACGCGAGACAGGGCTCTCGGAAGGACTACCGACAGACGGTCATGCCAATGACACTTTATCAACATCCAGAGATCTTCGCAGAACGCGACTGGAGACTGGCTTGTTTATCTCAGCGGGCGAAACATGGGACGACTGGAAGACCTTGCACGAACGCGAAGCACCGGATGGGCTTTACGACGAACTGATCGAGGAGGAGATGCCAGATGATGACAGCGACTCTAGTGACGACGAGAACGACTTGTTTGCAATCAGTTACCGCGAATGTAGTGGTTTGGCAGGTTGTCCCCGAGGCAGTGGTAGTGGCGGTGGCGGTGATGATGGTGGGCATGATAGTAGTGATGATGACGACGATGGTGACAAGAGTAAAAAGAAAGACAACAGTGATCCAGTAGCACCAAGCAACCCTGCTGGTGGGCCACCAACTGGGTCCAAACCTCGACCCAAGGCGGCAGGCAAGAAAGCGGAAAAACATGACTACACGCAATACACCCGCGTACAACTACGTACAGCTATGAAATTTTGCAACGAAACACAGAGTGCTAAGCTTACTGAGGAACTTCACAAGCGTGCTGCGGAATACGACGACAACCCGAACAAACCTGGTGCTTTTCATCACTATATCCTCAAGGATAAGACAGTCGCAAATGGTCTTCAAAATGATATTACTAAACTGGGTAATACTTGGTCGGCTACCTATAAACAAAAACTCGATAACCAGAATAAGAAGGCCGGAAGAACCGTGCAGCAGCAAGAGGCCGATTCTGAGGAGGTGAACGGAGACGATGTGGGAATAGATCAGACTGGCGAACAAGTAGATATTGACATATCCGGAGAGAACTCTCCCGCGCCAACTCGGAAGAGCAAATCCAAGAAGGCATCTACATCTAAGAAGAAGAAGACGCGGTCAAAACGAGGAGGCAAGAAGTAGACCATCTCACTTATCTCTTCAATCTTGTGGGGAAAAGGACGACAAGAAGTGGCGTGGGCGTGTAGATGTAAACTTGGACTGAGGTAACAGCCGGTGCATAGCACGGGGATGGCTGCAATACTCTTCTCGCACTCGATCCCGCAGTTCTGCTAGAATAGATCAAACGTAGTATAGTTTTCATAATGTCAGCACGTTGTGCTTCTTCACAGTACGCGCTCTTCTTTGAGCAATCAGTTCGAGACACGGATTACGCCAAGAGCCGAGTAAAGCTCAAGTCCTGTTGTATCTGACTGCCACAGTGTTCCGCGACGCTGCTGCTCGTTTTGAAGCTTATACAAAGCATACGCTTTCGTGGCTCATACTGTTGTCGAACATTGATTGATGACGTACCCCCAATCCGGTTAGGGTTGCGCTGTGTAGGGTCAGAGCGGGACGTCGCACGTGAGGGACGCTTCACCTCCAGGGTTTGCTCGCAGCATGGTCACTCACCCTGGAGATACAGGTTCGGCAACTTCCATCGCAAGCGTATCATTGGCGCGACTCGCGTGCCGTTCCGCACACGACGCGACCCCAGTCACGATCCTTGGCGCACACCTCCGCAGCCCATCTTACTCCGCGCGCCCGCTCCCAACCCACGAAGACAGCGACTAGACGAAATCAAAGCGGTAGCGCACGACACCGCACACGATGGCGAATGATTACGAGAACTGGCCGGTGAACTCTGTAAATAAGCGATCCCTTCGACCGGTCCTCTTCGATCTTGGGATCGCGAATTTCAACGACGTACCCAAGGAGGCTCTTGTGGAAATGTTTCTCGACTTTGATAAGCGATACCATCCTCTGTCTCTGAGCGACCCTGATGATAGAAAGAAGGTGAACGACGCACAGAAGGCTGAGTTGAGACAAGAGGTGATCAGGCAAAAGGAGATTGCGAAGCTAAATAAGAAGAGCAAAAGAAGAGCAAAAGAAGGCAGAGCAAGAGAAGAAGCGTAGCGGGAACGCAGCAGCAAAGTTTGAAGAAGGACAGAAGACAGAGACGACCACGGTGAGGCATGCGGAGACTAAGGCCAACGCTCAAGAAGATGAAGCTACCCCGATCGACGGCGAAGCAGCGGATCGAGATCAAGACGGAGATGTGCGTATGGCGGGAGATGGGGATGCGGCAGAGGCAGTACCGTTGGTCGATCCGACGGCGGAGGCGGTCTCTAGTCCCGTCGACGGCGGGGGCAAGCGCAAGCGTCCTGCCACAGTGAGTCCATCTGACACCAAGCGGGCACGTACCGACCGACCGAAGACATCGTTAATCGTGAAGTTGAAGTTGCGGACTAAGGACGGAGTTGCGACTGGCGGCATGCAGACTGCGACACAAGTAAGTGAGACCGAGTGCGACAAGATCCTGGCTCTTGCTAACGACAATGCTCAGGGTCTTGGTGCTCGTAAGCGTTCGAGACAAGCTGCTGGGGACATGCGCACAGCAAACACCCGACGCACCCTTAAGAAGCCAGGTTCGAGGCTACAGCATGGCGTAGCATCTCCTCTTGAGCTCGCAAACCCCATGGAAGGCAGCAAGAACAACCCTGGCGATACAGGCGCTCAAGGAGTGGGCGATGTATCCGGCACCGTTCCTCCCACCAACGCACCCGAAAAGCTCCCGACCCGACACCATCCGCAATGTACCACCAGGAAGATGGCGAAAGCGCCAGGCGTGAGTGAAGACGCCGCTGCCGATGACACATCCGATGAAAACGAACGATTGTCCGAAGGGGATGCTGCATCCGACGCTGCATCGGCAGAGAACACCGAAGACACGCCTGGTCATACAGGGCCGATGCTACCTGAGGAAGAGTGGATTGACTATGATGACAACTCGATATCGCCATACGATGAGGTAGCGGCGCGGACTATAGTCGCAGAGAATAGTGGCAATCTAGGTTCTAGCCGTGATCCTAACCTCGTTATTGGCTTCAAGGGTACACACAGGGTCGACGGTTATATGCATATCCCTCTGCTCTATTGGGCGAAGCAGATGAATCCCGACACTCTGGATTCCGCACAGTTGGTGCTCTACAAAGTGCAGAAGAAAGAGTGGGAAAGGCAGGATGCACTCATGGCGGGAAAGCCGGCTCCGAAAAAAGTGGTCAAGCCCAAGCGGAAACGCTGGGCTGATGTGTAGTAAGGGCCTCGAATGGTCAACTTGGCAAAGCCTCTAGGCGGAAGTGACGACGGGTGCGTTTAGAGAGGGGAAGTGATCTCTTTGTTTGAAGGATGCCGTGCCAGCATGTGCTCGTTCCGGACGTCTGTACCTAGCGAGCATGTCTTTGTTCCATGGTAGTGTGAAATGCTCGCCGGAAATGGTAGATAGCTCTTTGTTTGTAGCAGCTGCTCGGCCAGTATGTTAGCATGATATTTACCCTGAACTTGATGCAACGACGGCGTTCAGTTCCCCACGATTTAGCATAATTGAATTCAGTCCTGAAACAAGCCACCCCACGTTTGCTGCGTTAAGCTCAAACTTGTCGCGACAAGATGACCAACGAGAACCAACAGAAGAACAGCAAAGATGGCAATTCGAGGAAGGAAAAGGGAAGAGAGGACAACACAGCTCGTAATAGGTCTGAGGATGTAGCCCCCAAGAATAAGTATATTCCAAAACTGATACTTGTCACCACGGAGCCAGGGGCAACCAGAGGCTCTCGAGTAAACACTCTGCGCGACACATGGGATAAGATAACCAAAGACCTGGAGCTCTGGCAGAAAGACCAGAAGAAGGATGAAGACATTGAGAAGGATCACGCTGCTGACTACAACTTCGAGGCGATCGAAGCGGACTATACAGCGAAGAATCAAGCTTATCGAGATGAGCTCGAAAATAATGGGCGGAGTGGAAGGGATCCGGATACGAAAGCAGCCAAGAGAGAGATGCTAATAGCAAGGGATAACTACAGGCAGGCTAAAAAATACAGAGATGACAAGAGGTTTGACAAAGCAAAACGTCAGAGAGACCATGAAGGGATGACGCGCGCTCAACAGATGGTCGAAGACTGGCTCTTCTACCAGGATGCCTCCAGGCGGCGGAGAAGGCTGATCTACTTGGACCCTGATAAGAGGAAAGAAGCTGAAGCAAAACGGTTGCGTCGTAGGCTTCAATATAAGCTCGAGAACTCAGGCACCGATAATGGCCATTATGACTGGCTGCATTCGTTGATGGAACTATATGACTCAAGAGACATTGGTGGCCGAAATTACAAACAAGGCTTGGAAAACCATCTCGGGAATCAGATCCCGAAAAGGACGAGGCAAAAGGCCACTCTGCCTCTTGTAGGGCCGGGCGAGCTTCACCTGTGGACACCAAGATACAGGCGTCGACTTGTTGGCTTGCGTCGCCCAGAGGAAGACGACACTGACAGTGATGATTCGGACGAGATCGAGCCGCATCGCTTTCAGCTGGATGAGGCGGCGGTCGAGGCCGAGCGGATGAAAACGGAGAAGAAGATCGATCGCGAGACGAAGAATCTTGTGTACAGTTCCCATGATGCAAGACGCCGAGACGAGATCGAAACCTACAAGAACAGCAGACCTAATACTTCGAATGTCCGAGAAGCAACGGTTTCCGGTAGGAGTATCGTCCAAGACAGGTGGGGTCAAATTCAGACGAAACAGGGCCTGTTCATCTCTGCACGTGAGAGCTCTTGGGATTGGCTGACCTCGTATGATTGCCTCGGGCCGGTGAAAACTGGTTGGTATCCTGAGACCAGCGCCGTTAGGGATGATCCGGAAGACTGGATAGAAGCAGATGATCTTGACAGCGAAAGTGATCGTGACAGCCAAGTTGACGCACCACAGGCTTCCGGAGATGAGCCTACGAATAACGAGACCGTACTCGAGAAGCCAGTAGGCGAAAGCCGAAAAGCTGGCAAAGCGACCATCGGTTACCCATACCCAGCCCGGGAGTTCTGGAGAGATTCGAAACCATTCAGATTGGGCGAACGCAAGTTCGTCACCACCGAGTGGGCGGAGGAAACGACCGGTCGCCGCGAACGACACACATACCGAAAGCTACAGCATGCCTCACCTGTCAACTCGCCCCCTCAATCTCCAGTGTTAGAGGAAATTTCAGATGCGACCATACCCATGGGCTTCCCCGAGACGGATACGCGAGCTGTCGCTCTAGAGCCAAGATCTCGCAGGAAAATCTGTCTTCTGAATCCCAATAGATGCCGGGCATTCTGGCCCCACTCGTTAAACGAGTGCTGGATACCATACTCAGAGCAACCGACGCGACCTGAAGAACCTGTGAAGTGGCCCATCCAGGGGATAGATGCACCCAAAGACGTGACCGAAGGGGGTCCGGATGGATACGTGCCGGCACTCGGTATGCCTGTTTACCGCTCTAGGCTATACGACCACTACGGACTGATGTTCCAGAGCACACCCAAGGACGAGGTCCCAGCGCGGCCCATATGGCCTAGGATTGGAATACGAGTGCCGTATGAACCCATGACGTTCGAAGACCTTCGTCTGTGCAGAGAAGATGGGGGCAAGGGTGAGATGGAGCCGGAGGCATCAAAATCTGCAGAGCTCGTGGAAGTTCCGGAATCATCCAGCCAAGGAGAGATAGGCAAGATTCTGGCTCCTGATGCGCATTTAAGAGGTGTCCATGAGGTCCGGTCGATGGCGGTGCCAATTATCGAGGAAGCGCAACGGCCGTGGGCAGATCCTGAAGAAGAGCCTGATGAAAATGACTCAGGCTCAGGCTCGGATGCGGAATCGGACGATGACGGTGATCTTTTCCATGAATCCTACGTGACAGGCTCCTTTCCAGGTGGCCTGCCAGCACCCGTACCACCGCCAACGGAAGCCTCAGGGACTGCCGCCCCGGATGAAACAGCTCCAGCAATTGTTGCCCCACCAGAAGCTGCTGTGCCTACAGAGGACGACCAAATGGATGATGGTGCCGAAGATCTGTAGACACAACACCACCGTATACCGGTTCAACCATATGTACGTAGATGTCGGTCTTTATCCATGATTATTCGTTGATTGTAGCAGGTATCGGGTGAAGCGTCATGAAGTTTGATCGGGTGAGGGAGCCTTGCTGGATTTCGTTCGTCGGTGCGCGGAGGGGACGCGTCGTCTTCGCGTTATCTAGGTGGCATGGTCTCGCTATCATGGAAGGAGAGGACTGGGAAAAATGTATCCATATCGCGAGGTATTCGGTAAGACATCGAAGCTCGCAGGATTGTGGCATCGGGCAATCGTTGACGTTTGTTGGCCGACGTGTAGCACTGAAGTTTGCAGTCGCGGTTTGAGGCCGGATTTGTGCTTAGTAATCAATCTGCGTCATAGCTCAAGCTTTTCAGCGAAACCCCATCCCTCCCCTCACACAGCCTCCCAGCATCAAGGACATCGACAGTATGTCCGGATAATCAACCGAAATTCGAGCAATTTAGCTGAATTACACGATAACATAGTGTGATGTTAGGGTTCAATGCACCCATTAATGACCCGTGGCAGAGTAAGTCGCACTTGTTTTTTATGGACCTTAACACCAGGAACCAGATTTGCCACTGTACACTCATGGATTCATTAAGTATCGATGTGTTCGAAAGATGTATTACTACAAGAGAGTGATGTCGATGTGCGCATATACTACGCGCGCGACAAACAGTCGACCATCACGCTCACCGCATTGAGGTGGCCTTAGCGAATACGCATAGCTCAGGACATGTCTGGAATGTCAAGCAGTTAGAGTGCTTCCTGAAGCTTTCATCGCAGTCCGAATGAATCGAAGATACAAGCACAGCTCCTCCACCTACACCCACATACTCCTCCCCAATCTGCAATCTCCTCTCTCGAGATACCTTGGATCCTCCCCTAAGTACTCCATCCTGTTCTCTCTGTAACGCTTCCCATTACTACCCTGCTCAAGCTTCCAACACTTCTCAATCTCTTCCCATACATCTTTAGCTCGGCGACCTATCTTGGGGGCCAGGATCTTAGCTTCCGCGATAGTAGGTGGAGCTTTCGGGTCTGCGGCCTGCCTGCTGTCCAACCAGTATAGATACGCATGGCGCGCCGATACCAACTCGCCAACAAGCCAAGAGTTTGGGTCGCGCGATGCACGGCCTGGCTGGACATGTATCTGGTATGTCTCATCTAGACGAGGGTTGGGTTGGATGCAGAGGGTGTTGTATGGTGGCTCACGGAAACCGAGGAACTCAATGATGCGCGGGTCGTTGATGAGAAGGAAGTCGACTGGCCCATTATCCATACTTGCTGCTACTTGGGTGACGTGGTTGTTGTTTCTGCGGTGCACGCACATGGCAACGATGCTGGCGCTCCCATAATAGTCGGCTTGGATTTCCTGGATATTCAAGACGGGAAAGGCTTCGAAACCATGGACTCGTACGACCGTGCAGGTGCCGTGAGGGTGTCTTTCGCATGCGACGCCTGCGGAAACGGATGGAGAAGGTGGTGGTACCGGCGATGTGGGTGAAGGCGACATCGCTGTCTTTGGCTCGGCATGTTCAATCGCAGAAGGAATCAAGATTCTCGGTGAAGGTATGCCTCCCATGGCGACATCAGGGTCTTGTGCGACTTCGAATCTGACTTTCTTTTGCAGTGCGTTGTCGGCAGCAGCATCTTCTCCCACAGACCTTTTAAGCCTGCCATGGGTCCCGATATCGTCGTGCGCTTCATCGACCTTCTCCGCCTCTTCTTTCTCCTCTTCCAATTCTTGGACCACCGGCAGCTTGTACGTCAACCTCTCTTCCCGATGATCATGCGCAGTCGCAAACTCGTTATACACCCTAACTACCTCGCGGTTGTCCAGCCTCTGGAGAATATCTTTGATTCTCTGCGACCACAATTCCAGCAAGTGCTTCTTCTGGCCGCCTCTCGTGAGAATCAAGCGCATAGTGTTGATGAGCTCGCTGGCCGCGGCTTCGGGCATGACAGCGAAGAGCCGAGGCTCAAAGACGGTAAGACTGCGCGACGTCGTGGGTGGCCTCTTCCGTCTGTATGTCTTGGGAGTCTGCATCGCATTTGTCTCAGGCGCAGTGGTGTTGACCGGTGGGGTAGGCGCGGGTGTGAAGAATTGCTGGGGGTCTGGCGTGTCGCTTTGCATTTTGGAGCCTTCGCTGCGCATACTGGCCTTTGTATATCAATGATCCGAGGTTTATTGGAAAAATCGTTGAGATGTGATGTTATTGAAATTCGCGTGGTGGTCGTTTGCGCGCAGGGCTGTTTTGTTTTGTCTCACTTTCGCTTGCGCTCTCACTCGCGACCTCCAAAACGAGAGAAAACATTGAAAGGACTATACACAGCACTACTTATTGATCCAACTCGAGCAACTGATACAATCGATAAGTGATATACCCACGAACATTCAGGCAACACTGTAGAAGTCAAAATAGCGACATCGTTATCGCATTTCACATCACATGAATTCGGGTCGCTTGTCGCCTCCGTAGAAGTCGATTCATACATTACACGTCTCCGCCATATGCCTCCACTACACATTAACATACAGGCCCCGTCATCCAACTCCTTTTGCCAAACACCTTACCCAAAGTGCGCCTCAACTGATACCGTGCTGCGCTTTCACCTGCGCTTCATACTCTGCAATAGCCCCATTGATCTCATTAACCATCTTCTCCCTTCTCAAAGCATCCGCTTCCGTCTCTGGGTCCTGAATATCTGGCACGGGCTTACCCGTGACATTCTTGAGGGCTTGCTTGGCGACAGCAACATTCCGAAAGTCCTCATCAAACGCATCTTGAGCATCACGAAGCTCCTTCCGTGCATCATCGGTGATGACCTCAAGTTGTGCAACAAGATTACGCGGCTGTTGCGTTGCGCGAGCGGCTGCCATCCGCATTGTAGCCATGCGCTCCCTTAGTCGAACGCCATACAACGCATTGCGACATGCTTGGAGCTTGACCCTGGCTTCAGCGAGGGCGTACTCTTCGGGACTGGATTCGCTACTGGTAGTCGCGGAGATCAGCAGAGCACGAAGTTCATCGGATGACTGTGGACGTGCTCGTTCGAGAGCTTGGAGTCGTGTCATCTCACGCAAGTCCTCGAAAGGCATGTTGAAGAAGTGGACACCAGTTTCCGTTCGTTTGTCGGCTGCACGCCAGTACAAGGGGCCAGGTGTTGTTCTTCCAACTGTGAGGTCAACTGCCAGGGGGCTATTGATCTCAGCAGCGATACCTTCCTCTTCTGGTATCAAGCCTGGTGAAGCATGGTGATTGACTTGGGGATTGGCGTCGTCATGACCAAACCCAGAAGCAGTGACACTAGCTTGCGAGTCATCGACATCCATCATTTGAACGTCTTGGTCGGATACTGGCTGCTTTTCCCGGTCACCAGCATCGTGCGCATCCGTGTCCTTTTCGGTCGACACTCGTCTATCATAAGTCTTGAGCCGTTCTAGAATGAAGCTGGTGTCGACAACGTCCTCCATCGCCACTAGGTCCCCTTCCCCGCCGCTCCTAACGACATCATTGACCGGTTCGTGCTTTCTGTTGTCACCGGCGTGCCCTTGAGGTATTGCTTCTCCGGTGGTCTCTTTGCCTGGATCAGCTACCGCGGAATCGGGGGTGTGTCCGACCGAAACGTCATCGGAGATGTCGTCTTCTTGAAGAGAAAGAGGTTCTGCGCTCTCCTCTTTCGCATTGTGACTCGCCGTAAGGCTGTTCGATCCGGTAGCCGGGACCCATACCTCAAAGCCGTATTTGTTTACACTCTTTACCAGAGGAGTAGTGGGTCCAGCTTCCGGTCGACCAGCCTTCTTCCGATGCGAACGTCTTGTTGGAGTCTCGGATGTACTGTCCTTCTTTCCATTGCGTCCTCCCTTCTCACGTATTTGGGGCTGGAAGTGTTTATCCCGGAGGTGATCGACAGTTTGTTCAGTGCCTTGACCTTGTGGCGCACGACTGTTCACGGAATTCGGTACGCGCTTAGTGGGAGGTTTTATGACTGTCTTGGCCCTGATAGTCTTGTGTCGTTTCGATTTGGGTTCGCTGAAGTTTGTAACAGGCAAATTTGTTTCACTGTTGCCGGGCTCATGCTTCTTAGCTGCTTGCTCCGGTGCTTTGTCACAAGACCTAGCTGCCGGGACGCTGCTCTCATTTCCCATATCAATAAATTTCCTATCGGTAATAGCAAGTTCCGATGCAGGAGTGCGAGGCTTCCCAGTCGAAGAGCTGGGATTGATGGCGGCTGGTTGAGAAAGTGATCGGCGGGGTGCTCTACCGTTGGTTTCCTTTGCGACGAGCTTTCATGCACCGTGACTTCCAACCTGAACGTCTCAATTTCGGAGTTTGTTGCGCTTACGAGAGGCAGAGAGGTTATGATCAGTACACAGGTGCGTACTGGAAGACTGGTGGTTCAGATAAGATGGCGAGCAATGTCGATGAGTTCCAAGAACCTTTGGTCATAGCGGCTCAACAACGAAATAGTGAATTTGCGTGCAGAAAATTTTCTGCACAGCCGATGCGGGCCGTAACAATATTGGATTCATCTCATGCATCGCAAGATGTCGTGAGCATTGTAAGCGGTCTTCGTCGCTGTCAGGCGTCTTCGAAGTCCACGCTTCGCTGGGAAGGAGGCAACGACACCCGCTTATGACGAGCATCCTGAGGCCTCAATGTAGTTGTCAGATGCGCGGTCTTGGAAGTATATCCCCGAAGGTAACTTGAGATGCGCGGTTGTGGTTGCAGTGGTGTTGTGAAGAATGATGACGTCATCATCACCGAAATTAGCGCCGATGTCGCGTACGCGACACGCGTGCTTGGACCCTGAACCACCAAACTTCACGATATCCGAAGAAGGCTACCTAGGTATGGTTGCCATCTCCAGAATCTGTCCAACATTTACCTCACTTTCATCAATATCCTTTGCCGCACGTGGTTACCTGTGAAGCATAGTTGCACGCCCAAGGTCTACACAAGCGATCACACACGACGTCATATCGGCCCGCAGTGCTTAGTATATCGAGGATTCATTACATTTTAATTTGTCCTCTTCAACGAAGACGTTCTACCCTCCAGCTAACAACCAGTGTCATACGCAAAGCTTTCTTGACTCCCTATCAAGTCTCAACACCATGGACTCGCGCCGAACCGTCTCATTCCGTCTCGAACCCACCAAGCCTTCCTAGCCCCGACGCACCCTTTTCTTCCTCTCGAACATCGTCTTCCGCTCCTCCGCATCCATCACACCAGTTCCTGCCGGTTTATACATGGGCATGGCAGTCTTGACGCCAGACTCCATCCATCGTGCCCACCGGTTGTGCAAGTCCACGATGCCGTGATTACGCACAAAGGTCTCTAGGTCATGAAGTACTGCTTGTTCGGCGGTAGCATCCTTGTCTTCCTCGGCGGCTCGACGACGCGTCCACACGAGATGCATATACTCTTGACGCTCAGCGTCTGTCGTCAGGATCTGGCCCATCTCTTCCATAACCTGTCGTAGACTCGGTCCGGCGGTACCAGTGGTGATGATAGTCGTCGGCCAGATCGGAACCCCAGTCTTTCGAAGCTTTGACTTGGGGGGCTGGGTATTGGCTTCAACTGGAGTGGGCTTGGCAGGTCGCTTTCCAAGCTGCTTCTGAGACGGTCGTGAGACTTTCTTCAGGGTACCTTGCGAGCGCTTGCCCTTCACAGGGAGAGACTCCCCAAAGTCTCCGTCTTCTTTGTCATCGTCGGCCTCTTCGCTGCTGTCTTCGAAGTCTTCGCTGTCCTCTTCAGGCTCTTTTTCCGACCGGTTCTCGACTTGTCCCTCTATACCTCCCTCGTCATCTATACCCGAGAGACCAAAGAGCTCAGGATCTCCATCTCCTTCATTATCATCCTCCAAACGGGATGAGCCCAAGAAATCCGATGGGCCCGCCTCCGTGGCCTGAGCAGCCTCGATCTCGGCCTGGCGACGCCGGACCAAGGCTGCAAGGTCTTCAGACCCGGGCTTGCGTGTTCCGGTCGATGTAGAGTCGCCAGCAGTCTGGCCCGCAACCTCTTCCTCTGCATCGCTCCAATGCCCTTCGACGTCCTCTGGCTGTAGTAGTGTATGACCACCGATACGCATAGGACGTGTCATCGTTGTCGGGGCGGACAGAAATGCCTGGTTTGGAACGCGACGGGAATTCTTGGAAGCTGGTGCGCCAGGGAGTACGAACTGATGCCTCGGTGGGGTGCCCTGTGGGGTCGTCGATGGTTGTAGAGTCGTTGGCGTCGTCGATGGCGGCGGTACGTATACTGCTCGTTGACGTCCAGAAATCGGGTTCTTTGGCGTTGTTGCTAGACGTCTAAGGCGTTCAGCTTATTAGAGGCCAGTGATTGCTATCACGAGGGGACTGACTTCAGGGGCGATGCGCAAACGACCAAATAGTAAAGAACGCAATTGCTTACCATTATCAGCTTGAGCAGCAAGCTCGTCCTGCTTCTGCATCGCACGCATAGTCACAGCTGCTCGCCTGTTCAGCTCTTCAAGTCCCGCATGGCGCCCCCATACAAGTCGACAGGTTTTCCAAGCATTCCTTCGCATCTGGAGGTCCTCGTCGGTGTCCTCTTCACCCATGTTGTCCGGCATTGGGCCAGCAGGTTCCAACTTCCAGATCGGTATCATCATGGGAAGCTGCGTGAAACTGATGACTATTTTTCCGTCCTTCTCAACAAACATGCGAAGGATATCGGAGTTCTCGATGAGAATGGTGTCGGTGTCAATGTTGCCGGTGCATGACATCACGACCCTGATGACCTTCGTGGTGAAACCCTTGGACGGTGGGCTCTTAGCGATCCTGGTGATTGTAGCGGTCGCACTGTGAACGTGCACAGGGCCATGTTGCTTGTCAATGTTCATGTCGAGGAAAGGCGTTTCTACCGGAACCTCCTGAGTGGACATGGTTACTGTTGTACGGGCAGCGTAGAGCAAAGATGGCTGCACGAACGAGTGGTAAGAATTGATAGTGGTCTTTGGACTACATGGGGGCCAGTGCTCCAATGTATGGTGGGGTGGTGGAGAGATTGCTCTCGCACCGTCAAGTGTAAGGTGGTTTGCGTCTTTCATTGAGTACCCTGCACACTTTTTTGGGTCGTAGAGCACTTGACGATCTGTTCAGGAACTAGCAACATCGGTACCTGGAGTCCCAGGGGTCATGAGCGCTTCGCACTTCATACTCGCATCACCCCCGGATACAGTCCCGTCTAATGGTGTGACTTATTCATCGCTTGCGCTATCGACCACCAGCAAACAGACACTGTTTCTCGACATCACCCTTCACAACGCCGTCAATCGAGGTCATTCCATGAGCATGCGCGATTCCACGAGCTTCTTTCAGCTACCACAACCCAGCGAAGACTAAGCAAAGCGTGTCCAAATGATCAGCTTGACGTTGCGCGGTTTCACCGAAATGGAATACACTCAACAGCCGAAAGTCTTCCGGCCCAGCTGGTACACCATCCCAGCGATCTTTTCCACGATTCAGTCGTACACTTCGGCAGTGGAGTGGTTCTACTATCTGACCTTTATCTCGCACATACTATGCAAGTCTGACTCGGCCCATATAGCCAAAGCCCACCTCATCTCCTTTCTGCGCGCTCGTCCACACATCCAGATGTGGCACGAAGCTTTGCTCTCCGAGATGTACGACGAGGACGAACCAAATCTACCGTCGGTACTGGAAGGTACGAATCTCTTGCATCCCTTGATACAGAGATTTCGCGAGTATTGCACGCAGAGATTCTCGTTGATGACGAGAGGGTATGTCTTCGTTGCGCGATGCGTGGTAATTGACTTCATCTACAGGCGCTTGGACAAGGCGCAGAAGGCAGCTGAGCTGGCGAAAGATGCGCAGACCAGGAAAGTGCTGGAAGAGCAGGGTGTGGCTGTGCAGCAGCGCGAGCAGGCCCGACGAGCTTTCGAGGCTTCTTGTCTCCGCTTTGGTAGTATCGGGAAAGATGTGCCTGCTGCCGGTCAAATTGGTGTTCTCGATCTTGCCGCTCTCTTAGCTGTGTTGTCGTTGCAATCGCCCTTTGATCTACCCGTCACGCCCGAACCTGGGTTTGCTGCAACTGTAGCGCCTGTTCAGCAGGTATCATGGCTGAAGGGTCTTGCGCGCAGTTTGGCTCAGCTTGCAGTAGAGGTCACTCCATCCTACACTCACTTGGCAGCGTAGTCCTGTTGTACGACAAACTTTGGCACAACTGCGTGCGCAATCATTAACTACCTTTGATGTTTTGCTCGTATAGAACAATAGAATGAGGTTAGACAATGAGGCCGAACAAGCAATAGTCAACTCATCACAAGGTAAGTGCAAGTATTTAACGGACTGGCGAATTACCTTCTCTTTTGCTTCGCAAATTCCTTCTATACTTATATATATATATTGCATTTAAATCTCTTGCTACTTGGCTAATCAGTCAGGTGCTGCTTTTGTTCGTCACTACCGACCCGTCACACTCCTTGCCTTACAAGAAGATGAAGTTTGCGACATCTTGCTTTGAGACCTCCGCAGTCGCTCCGCGGGAGTCACGACCCTTGAGAAGCTCACTCAATTCACCGATTCGATCATTGTGGCCCTACCTTGGCGATGTGAATGAGAGCCTTCTTCGCCGCTTATATCGACCGAGAACGGTTCACGATCTGACTCTTGTTCTACTCAACCAATTTCACTCTTGAGTTCAGAGCCTATAGACCCCTTATAAACGGCCCTTTACCTTCTACCACTTTAACCACTATCAGAAGCTTTCAACAGAACGTCACATTCAACAGCCAACCGCACCGAAAACACACACAATCGATTTCAACGGTAACACTGGTTGAGACAATGAACACACACACGTCCTGTTACACCAACAGTATCCTCCAAAGACTCAAGGAGATCATTGGTCTCAACGACTTCTTACTGTACGGCAGCATCATCACCCGAGTCTTCCGATGCAACATCAGCGGGTCCGGCTCTTCACCAGCACTGTTTCGCATGCTCAACCCCAACTCAGATGCGATCTTCCTCCACAACGAGATTGCAGTCATGACGAAGACTGCGATAGAAAAATATAACCTTCCGGAATTTGAGGACGAGAAGAATGGCGCGAACTCTTCGCGCTATTCTGCGAGCGCAGATGATAGCTACGGGCACCTGCTGTTTGATGTCGTAGATCAGTTCGCGGGTACGGAAGGAACGCGACCAGCTGAGGCGCATACCGCGCGATCTCAGGTCATGCGGTGTGTGGAGATGGTGCACCAAGAGCATCAGAAGATCGAGCAGGCAGTCGACGATGTTGCGGCGGTGCTTGCATCAATGGGGGTGGATACCATGGCGACGGATGCAATGGAGTTCTGACTCAGCTTTAGGGTGCGAAGGGTGAAGACCAGAGATAACATACACGTGCCAATGGTTAAAATGCATCAGGTTATAGCAGCGGGAAGACGATATACACATTGCAGTTCATCAAGTATATCTGGCATGCATGGCCTGGAGGCACACAAATCATTTTTTCAGTCAGCATTGATCATCACGAATACATTGTGCGAGTGTTCAAAGAGTGTATATATGAATTGTCGAGACTTACAAGGGACCAGCCCCAGCTCACAACTAGCTAATGATCATCAAGGTGAGACTTACGGACGACCAGCGCCCAGCTCACCACCAGCACCCACAGACCAGACACCACCACACCACATCTCCGCCGCCACAACCACTCACTCCTTCTTGACCACCTTCTTGGCTGTCACCGGCACCCGACCCTTCATGTAGAAGTCAGCTCCAAATCTCTCCACCTCCTTGGTGAGACTTGAGTGACTCCTCAAAGGCCGAGCGCCGGCCGTACCCGCGAGAATCTTGCCGCCGAAGGTCTGGTTGAACGCCTCAACGAAGGCCTTCCACCCCTTGGTGGGCTTGCCGGCGGTGAGGTTGGCGAGGATCCACTTGCGCTCCTCCGCCACGTAGGCCTGCACGACCTCACGGAACCGGACGCTGGTGTTGCGCCGGATTTGCTGAACAGTGCGCTTGTTCAGCGCCGTGATGGCCTCCTGCGAAGCCCAGTTGCGCGGGGGCGGGTTGGCGAAGATGCGCTTCTTGCCGTTCTTGTCGAGGAGCTTGACGACCAGCTTGTGCTTCTGGTCGAACGCGGTGCCGTCAGCGAGAAGCTCGAACCGGCCGGGGACGAACTGAGTGAACTCAGGATTGGCCTTGAAGTTGTCGTCGTCGGCGTAGTCGGTGGCGTAGGCGCCCCAGGTGACGTTGCGGAACAATTCTGGCTTGGTGGTGTCTTTGACGTCGCCAGCGACGTCGCCCACGTCCGAGTCGTAGTACTCGTTGCCGGCCTTGGCGGCAGTGGCGATGAGTGCTGCGTGGTCAGCCCTCTTCGGGTCCAGGATGCGCTTGTTGCGCTTCATGGTGGGCGCGGAGATGGGCAGAGGAGGTTGGGCGGTCTGCTTCATGCGACGTTTGGGCGGCATGATGTCGGCCTCGGAGTCGTTGTCATCCTCAGACTGAGTGACGAGTTGATCGATCTTGCGCTTATGGCCAGCGCCAGCAATGGGGGTGGGTGAAGAAGGATGAAGGGCGGATTGGATGCAACGTAGTTTGAGCTTGAGACCTGAGCGACCAGACTCTGCGTTGGGGGGGCCGACAGCCTGGCTCACGGGGATGGGAGTGGAGTCGATCGCGGTGGTGTTCTTGGGGCGCCTGAGCTTGAGCTTGAGCAGACGAGGTTTGCCAGAGCTGTAAGAAGCAGACGGAGAAGGAGCGCCGGTGGAGCGAGTGCCGAAGGTGTGGCCAGCACGAGCAGCTCCCATGGGTACATCGATCGGTGAGGCCTGCTCAACCGAAGGGAGGATGACGGAAGGTGACCTTGTGGGAGTCGTAAAGGGATCTCTGGGACGAGTGTGACGAAGTCCAGCCAAGATGGTGGCAGCTTCAAGCATGCCGGGTGAGACCAGCTCGACCGAGGGCAGAGTAGAGGAAGACATGATAATGGAAAGGTATCGTAAAGAGTAATGGGTATCGTAAAGATCGAAAGATGGAAGTAAGAAGCTGAGTGCTGAAGAATGTATGGTAACGTGCGGTAAACTGAGAAAGTCGTAATGAGAAGATAGAAGAAGCTGGGCAGTCTGACGATAGATTCTGCCAAGGAGGAGGGCAGTTTAAGTATGAGGACTACTGTCGACGGCTGCGACTGTTTCTCATTAAGCTGCTATTGTCTCGAGGTGAGCTGCACAAATTTCTGCCGTCTTGTCCCAATCGGGTGGTGAAGACTGGTAATTCCTAATGCGAGTCGTAGTGAAGACGCAAGAACGACCCATTTTGAGCGCGTTCACTTCGCGGAACAATAGGATTGTGCTGAGAAGCGGTTAAGACGGGACAAGTTGAGGTGACCTGCGATAGTTCCAGACGTCAGAGAGCCATCTGATAGCCAAATATGGCTTTCTCAGCACATCAATACTGGACTCCTCCATTGTGATCGGGCGTTCATGAGACTCATTGTTTCGGTCATGATAGCTCTTGGTGCTGCCTCTTGTTCCGGGGTCTTGCTCCCATCAGACCCTTTCACCTTCACTTGGTCGCGGCGTTCCCCTTGGTGTGGATGGTGCGAACATTGTAGTTTTTGCCAGCCAGGACGCATAGCGTTCCTTGCCGTATCGCGTCCATACCTCTTCAGATCACTCTTTTTAAATGAGTCGCGCAATTCCGTATGAATAGAGTAAGGTGGTGTAGTGGGCGCAGCTCGTACGTGACGATATCCATGGATATGCTGATGGCTCGTGTGCACGCTAGTGCTGGATGTGGTTAGCGTGGCTGATGACATTATCCATCGGATATCTCGTTTGGCAGCTCTAGCACCCATGAACGCATCTGCTCACCCTGTCGACGTGGCTGTCAGCGTTCACATCCTTAGAAACAATGCGATCGCAAAGCCCGCAATGGTTCCAGATGATTGCCTGGGACAATGCCCGAGTAGCGATGCGGACCGAAGTTCTGTAAAATTGACAATGGCGCATGCAGGACGCGACGCGTCAAGGCAGCAGCTTTGCATTTGTCTTTGCATTACCCATGAGTATAGTTACTGCTCTCACACCTTTACTTTTCCAGATTAGATGCTGTATTTTTGTCAGTCGTAATGGCTAGTTCACCATCTATCGACGTCGCCATCACTTCTTCGCCCGACGTTTTCGACATCGACGGATCCACCGATCTGAACATCCGCCTCAGTCTCACGCTTCGTCACGACAAACCGATTACATTGTACAAACGTGAAACGAGCCTCTTCGACGGCAAGATACTTCATGATGGCGGGCTCACGTTCACCGATGTCGAGACTGGCGAACGCGTGCCACGCAGCACCTTGAATCTTTGCTATTTCTCTAGCGAGAGGTTTTCATGGACGACTAGAAGCCAATACGTTACACTGTATCCAGGGAAACAACATGTCATTCACACCGGCTTTACACCTCTAAGTACAAGCGGACGCGAGAAAACGGATCCAGGAGAATCGTGGGTGAGGTCGTTGAAGTTCGCCGGTTTCAAAGATGGGCAGACATGTATAATGGGCATCAGTGAGAACGCTTTTCTCAAGGACTGGTTTGAGGGAACAGTCTGGGAGCTACTAGGATGGCAGATGCTGGGTTGGGCGCCGACGACAGTTCACACGCACATCAGCTATAGGGTTGTTGAGTCATCGGTTGTCACGATCAAGCGACTTGAGGCTGATGATGATATCCGCCTCGAGGACGTACTCTCTGTGAAACCGACTGATTGAGCTATCATCTAGTTCAGCAAGTCGTAGCTGAATGCTTAAACCACACCCAAACGCTGGTCTCTAACCGCTCGACCAATACAACCCGTGTCTTTCTGCTCTACTCAGCTCTATCTTGAACGTGATGCTCTCATACGCGGCTCTCACACCCTATATCTGTACCGATCTTTCCTCTCAACGCCAATCACCTCCGCAAAGGTCGTCTTCAGGTCTCTAGTCATAGTGTACACGATCTCTTCCAATCGTGCAATGCGTATGGGGACATCGCGCCAGTCTACACGCCGACGGAGCTCCCCAGTCTCGACGTCTTTGACTAGTTCGTTTAATAATGCAGCATTCAACTTGTAAAACCCCACGAAATGCCGCGCATGCGCAAAATGCGCAAGCTCATGCAGCATTGTCCTTACCAAGTCGTTCA